ATTTAATTCATAACATATGACAACCAGAGGAAGGGGAATTTAATCAATTTATGGAGATCAGTTTGTGATAGTGTAATATGGAGGTGTGGAAATTCATTTTCTTAGAGAAACCCTATTGAAATCAAGAACGCAGATGGTTGACTTTTAGATCTCACGCCAAAATTCTAATGTTGGAAATGCTTCTTTTAGTTGATATATTGTCAAATTTTCCATTTTTATGCTCAAATCGTTCTCATTGGTGGGTCAATATAATCTCTGGATTGGGAATGGTTTTTCATAATTTTTTAGGGGACTGATCTAATTTTTATGGGGATTTCAGTTACCAAGTGCAATCGAGCAGAGCTTGCATTAAACTTTCTCAGGGAAAACAAGAATGGTTATGACATTGTTATAAGTGATGTTCACATGCCGGATATGGATGGTTTCAAACTTCTTGAGCATGTTGGACTCGAGATGGACCTCCCTGTTATCAGTAAGTTTCCCTTTTCATTTTTTTCAGACTATGTTGAACCTGAAAACAGGAATTATAGGTTTTGTGTAAACTTAGCTTTGTTTTTATATTTGCTTGTGTTGTTAGTGATGTCCGCGGACGATAGCAAAAAAGTTGTAATGAAGGGGATTACTCACGGTGCGGTGGATTATCTCATCAAACCGGTTCGCATTGAGGCTCTGAAGAATATATGGCAGCATGTGGTTCGCAAAAAAAAGGAAGAGTATAAGGGAAAGGATTATGAACAAACAGGAAGTGTGGAAGATGGAGAGCAGCAGCAAAAACCTCCAGAAGATGCTGAATATTCATCTTCAGCTAATGAAGGGAATTGGAAAAATCCGAAGAAAAGAAAGGACGAGGAAGATGAAGCAGAAGAAAGGGATGATTCATCTACTTTGAAGAAACCACGCGTGGTTTGGTCAGTCGAGCTCCATCAGCAGTTTGTCACCGCTGTTAATCATCTTGGATTAGACAGTATGAATCTTCTCTAAACCTATTTTTTCCTGTCCATTTTGTTTATTTTGTTTTGTTAAATATTTTACTTCGAATCGTTACTATTTGTTTGTTTCTCGTACCATTGATAATATGTAAACACCTAATCTTTTGATAGCTTGTGCAAAGTTCATTATTTTTTTATCATATATTGTCTTCCTTTTCATATGAAGCAACTAAAAGTAGGCTTGAAGTGGCTGGTTGATGGTGTGGAGTCTATGATTCATTCACCGTATTGAGTTTGTTGATATCAAAATGGATTTTACAGTATTCAGAAAGTAGAAACCTCTTCAAAATTCATTTTGTTTAGCTAAAACTATTTGTTAAAGATAGTTCATCAAGTTGTTGTTGTCATCCTAATAGTCTCTAATAGAATATGCCTTTATTTGAATATATACGTTCAGGAGGATATGGTTTTCCAGTTCTCAGCAAGAGCTGATAGTTCTTGGACAAATGCCCATTTAGTAAAGCACTTTTCAAGTTTTAAAATTAACGTCGTCAAATATAATAATGACCAAAATAATGTACAAACATACCAAAAATAACATGATTAGTTCATTTCATTGCCGTCAAGTCATGATCTTTTCTTTGCATTATCACTTACTCCACTTTTTTTGACCACGTAAACTCCACATTTCATACTCTGGAAAATTCCTCTAGAATCTAGTTACGTTTGCTCATTGGAAGTTGTGTTTTCTGATATCTTCCACTGTCGTATATCTATGTTTCTTGTATGTGCAACTCTAACTGTGAATGCAAGTATTATTCTTATGATAATTTTGACTTTAGCAATTTTCCGATTCCTGCATAATTTTGCTATTCATATAAGCTCCTATTCATTATGTTCCAACTCTACGAATGAATGCAGAGGCTGTTCCTAAGAAAATTCTGGAACTAATGAATGTCCCCGGGCTTACAAGGGAAAATGTTGCAAGCCATCTTCAGGTTGGACAACATTTTTCCTTCCACTTACTTTATGAGACCCTTGCTCAATTTTGATTTTCATCATTCATTTCTCTTGAAAGATTCTAACTGTAGCAACCTTATTGATGCAGAAGTATCGTCTTTATCTTAGAAGGCTAAGCGGCGTATCACAGCATCAGAGTGGACTCAATAATGCATTTATGGGACCCACAGATGCAGCCTTTGGGCAGATGTCTTCTCTCAGTGGGATTGATCTTCAAGCTCTTGCTTCTTCAGGTCAGCTCCCACCACAAAGCCTCGCTATAATCCAGGCTGCAGCACTTGGTAGGGCTACAAACAAATCACCCGTACCGGTGCCACTAGTCGATCAAAGAAATCTTTTCAGCTTTGAAAGTCCTAAGATAAGGTTCGGCGAGGATTCACAACTTCTTAACAATAATAGTAAGCAAATCAACTTGCTCCATGGTATCCCAACAAATATGGAACCAAAGCAGCTTGCCACTTTGCGCCAATCTGCACAATCCTTTGGGAACCTGAATATGCAACTCCACTCTCAGTCAAGCCAAAGCAGCTCTCTACTGACACAGATGTCTCAATCTCAGTCTAGGACACCATTATTAAATGAAATCAATGGTAGCCATGTCTCGACTCTTCCATCATCTCTAGGTCAACCCATTATGTCGCAGGCACTCCCCAGCTCTGTTTTGCCCCGAAATGGAATTGAAAATGTTCGTGGGGGAACATTTGGTTCAGTTTCACAGCCTTCTCCGGCTCTAGATTTTTCCGTAAATCAGGGGACTGAGTTTCCGGGCAACAGTTTTCCTCTCATGAGTAATTCAGGTATACCTGCTCTCACCTCTAAAGGGATGCTGCAAGAAGAGGTTAACTCGGAAATGAAAATGCCTAGAGGTTATCTTCCTAGTTATGACACTTTTGATGAGCTGAATCAGAACAGAACTCAAGATTGGGGTATGCAGAATGTTGGATCAACCTTTGACGTTTCTCAGCATTCAAACCTACTGGGAAGCCTAGATGTTTCACCGTCAATTTTAGTTCAACAAGGGTTTTCTTCTAGCCTTAAGAGTGAACAGAGCAGGAATATACCTGTTAGTAAGGCAGCCTTCTCAGTTGGGGACAGTAGAACTGGTAACACTTCCAACCCCGGCCAACAACTTAACTCGTCTCCTGCTGATATTTCACAAAGGATCAAGGCTGAAAGGCTGCCCAATATGGGTTTCCAGAATACCTTATTTCCCGAACAGTTTGGTCAGGATGATCTCATGAGTGCACTTCTCAAACAGGCAAGGCTCTTTATTTTTACCCTTGGCAAAAAGTATTTCTAGATATTTAAAGTGATTAGGCGCATGTTTGGCCAAGCTTATAAAGTTTTATTTAATGTAAATTAGTAAGTTTTAAACGAATTAATCTTTTATTTGTCTAATTCAAGCATGTTCTCATTATAGCAGCAAGAAGGCACGGGAGCTGTTGAAAGCGAGTTTGGCTTTGATGGCTATCACTTGGATAATCTTCCCGTATAACGCATCTCCCTGCTGTAGCTTATTGTGTCTAGCACTCTCACCTCGTTGCAGAACGACCCGTTCTGATCAAAGGCTAAAGATTCGGTTTCACATCTGCTACCAGAAGTAGGATATTGTTAATTTAGCTGCATTATTCTGGTGTGAATAGCAAGCTGTGTTTATTTCTTTTGACATTATAATGCGAAGCATAATGCTCAGTCAGGTGGATTAGCTGCGATTGAAGCTAATGAACGGGAAACATGCAAGATATGGAAAGCATAGGCGAAGTTTTGACTGCTTTTAGAGTAGGCTATTGTAATAGGTACAGTATTATTTTCGGGAACTCGTGAAATTTCCTCGTTTGCGGGTGCCAGTCTATTTCTCGCTGCAAACCTGTGTCTGCTCTAACTCAAATAAAACAAATGTTTATTTTTCCAGAATTTGGATGCTGTGTATAGATTGGATTTGAATTCAAGAAACTATTTTTCTCCATTCTTTATTTTTTTTTCTTGTACTTGAGAATTTATATATCATGCTTAGTTGTTGATATGCTGAACACTACTGGATAAAAATGTTTACCATTTTAATGCTTGTTCTTAAACCCAGGAAATCCAAATTCGATATATTCTTCCTTAGTTTCCCTCGGGTTGAACGAGAGAGCTTCTGGTATGTCTTCTCAGATCCAGAAGCTTGAGCAATAAATTCTCCCGACGTCCATAGACTAGTCTTCGGCTTTGCCCCCCTTATCTACTAGTCTCTTTAAACTATCCCCAAAAAAAAAGGCTTGTTGCTGTTAGCTTCGCCACTAGGTCAGAATCTCGAACCATTCTACTCTACGTTAGACCAAGGGATAATTGAAGTTACCACTCCAAGCCTTTCAAAACGTTGCAAATTTTTTTCTAACCTTTCATTCGTTGTAGCCATGGTCTCAAACCTTTTAAATGCATGTCTAGAGCCCAAATGGATGGAAATTGTTCAATCAGCTGTCAGTTGACTGAAAATTAAATTTGACCACATTTTTAAAAATTAGAGAGGCAAAATAGTAATTCATAATTTTCAACATAAAATAAGTTAAAAATTTAATTAGAAAAAAAAAAAATGAATAAAAACGAAAGGTTTCCATCCATCTGGGTTCGAGACGAATGCATTTGAAAGGTTTGAGACCACGAGTACAACAAATGAAAGGTTAGGAAAAATATACAACATTTTGAAAGGTTTGGTGGCGCAGCTACAATTATCCCTTGATCAATGATATTTTGGGTCCTATTCTTTGTAAGGTCAATGGAGCGAACAAAAAAAAAAACTCAAGTCGTTACTGTGAAAACATGTAAATATACACTTGGAACGAAGGAAAAATCCCAAGAAATGCTCAACAATGTATATAAAACACGAGAAGTTGTGTCAAGCTAATACACGGGGTATGTTACAGTACCAACTTAATTTTCTTATCAGCAATCATCGACAACAAGATTGAAGTACTCAAAATCCCCGACCTGTATAAAATTCCTTGAAGAACACGAATGATATATCATGTCATGAAAAGAATGAACAAATCAACGGCTATGAAACAATGGCTATTACTGCATCGCCAAGAAAACTGCAATGGCCAAGATGACAGACATCAAAACAGAGGAGCCGAATCTATGGGAATTGCTTTTGGGAAGTACTCTGGGTAGTGAGCATTCTTCCCCATTGAAGAAAACTTTTGTAGGGAATCCATCACCACCGGGAATATCTACTCCCGGCGTCAACTTCTTCGTGAATGAAATTACAGATTGCTGCTTTCCGGGAACTCTGGGATCCTTCTGTGGGTTAGCGCTATCTGTTTCTGCCACGAGATAGTTCAAGCCAGGGAGGCCTTGCATGAAAATTGTATCGTTGACACCATTCAATGCACTTCCATTGAAAGAGTAGGCTGCTTCAAAACCAGGAGCTGCTTTGCCCAATTCAATTGCCGTGAACCAATCGACAAAAGGAAATTCGTCCCAGTTAAAGAGAGTAATTCTTGCAGACCATCCACCTCTGTAGTCTGTGAACAAATGCCAGTTGATGCTAACACCACAGTTATCACCACAGGGCAGAGGGTTTGGCACTGGGAAATGATGAAGATCGGCCCAGGCTGTGGATAAAGTAGTTCGATTCTCAAACGGGATGAGAAGTGCCTGAGACGGAAGAAAAAGAGCTGGAGACTTAGTACTACACGTGCCATCAGTATTAGCAGGACAACCACAGGCGCATGTTGGACATGGGATGATAGATTCATTGTAAAATGCAGAAAATGATACGCAGCATCGAGGGCTCACTCCCTTTGGTTTCGTAATATTGCACACGACCTGCCAGCTTGCCATTGCAGCTGAATCTGACAATAACCCACTCGGGTCCGGATATTGGCTGGGACTCACTCGGATGGGTGGTCCACATTTGTAACTGGGATTCAGTCTGCCAGAGATTCCCCAATTCTGTGGTGGAGTAAGAACGGAGCGATTAAGATCCGGAGGCATTTTGAAAACATTAATCTGGAATGCTGAAATCGACTTGCTTGGGTCCATTGCAGGTGGCAAGATTGTCCCATTCCGACAACAGAAAGGTATCATTCCTAGATTTGTGTCATTTGTTTTCGCTAAAGGCAGGTCAACTATTGTTGGTCTCCTGTCACAATTCAATGCAGTGGAAAAGTCGAGGTCCTTGTAGAACTCACCCTGTTTGCCAAAGACGCACTTTGATGTATCTACCACAGAGGGATAGGCTCCTTTCATGGCGAAAATGAACTCGTCATTCATCCAATCCCAGCTTAACTGCCAGTTATCAAGACGGCCAAGAGGGTTATGGTTTGCAATTGTAACCTGCGCCCAATAATTGGATTCGTATGTTCTGATTACGTCATACATTATCGTGAGGTCACCATCTTGACGTGGTAGAAATTCTTCATCCAAAGTAACATTTGACTTGAATTTTGGATCTCTGGTGCAACACACTTCCAATACACTCTTTCCTGAAAGAAACAGAATGGCAACCTCAAAAATTATGAATTTCAACATGGCAAGCTAAATTCGTGTTTCATTATACTGTTCATACCAAACATGCACTAAAAGCATAAGCATGAGCAAGATAAAACAAATTTTAGGAGTCAATGTACTAAATAGGAGATATTGAGAAAGATCTTAACAATATCCCAGATAACGTGCAAAAAACTATGGAGGATACACGATTCATTCATCAGATGAAATTTATATCCAACATTAATTTTTTAGGGTCACAAGTAACCTCAAAAGACTCATTGTCCATAGAAGACGTGACAAACAGATGTTAAAACGTGCAAATATCAGAAGTTTACGCTAGAAAATCATATAATTATAATGCAAGTACTGAGTATGGTATATCAAAAGGGTATTCTTACAATAGTCATGGTTAAATAAGTCCGATTAAGGCTCCCAAATTTTCTCCCCCATTCCCCTTCCTAGTCTCCCAACTTCCTGCGCTTTTTCCCCTTCTTCAACTTGCTCACAAGCTCCGATGGAATAACATTATCAAACCTAACCCTCCAAATTTAATAAATCGACTTCCAAACTATCATAACTATGGAATGTCATAAAACAAAATCCCAATTAAATAGCCTTTCTTGATCACACTATGAAACAAAAGTCAACCAAAACTCCACATCTTCATTTTCCCACGCCTTTAATCCCTCTAACGTAGTTCAAATCCAGCTGATTAACAACACTTAGTAAACCACATTATTCTACAAACTCAAATCTTTCCTACATTTTCTCTGTCATCAAGCACAGGATCGAGCAATTCAACAATGGTAGGCGAGGTCATGCAGAGAAATAGCTCGCGCAGCGACAATAAAAAGCTTAACACAATACACCGACCACCATCATCTCTATCCTTAGAAACTACGAGACCAATAGAAAAATAATAAATAAATATTTCACTAATTGTAGTGTAGATTATCCACATCATACTGCAGAAAATCAACCAGAATCTCCAACTATCAGATCAATAAAATACAGAATAAATAAACAAAACTAAAATGAAATTATAACAACTAGAGAATGACCTTACCTTGATTAGAGGGTTTTGGGCAAACCCACCCATCATTCACCAGCGATATATTATTGGGCAATGGAACATCCGGCGCCCCGATTCCGAACTGGGTCCCTACCAAATCGACCTGGACACTCATCTGGGTCAAGTCACCGGCGGTTTCAATACCCGTCTTCAGATCCGCATTCGGGTTACCCGCAAAGACCGACCCATTTCCTACATTCGCCGGAAGTGAAGTCCCATCTGCAAGCACCACATTCGATGCGGATACCAAGTACTCATCGTGCTGAAATCCGACAAAGACCCGCCATGACTTGAGCTCGTCTAAGTCATTATTCAGTGCAAAGAGAGTGGATTCGAATCTGTACGCTTGGCGGGTCGGGGCGGACTTGATAATCGGAGGTACAATTTTCCCGGTTTTGTAAGTATAGGAGAGAAATACTCCGTTGCAAGAATCAGAAGCCGGTGCTGGCGCTTCTGTTACGGCTGGCGTTCGGGTTTGTGCCCGGGTTTGACCCGAAATCAGAAGGATGCATAAGAAAAAGAAAAAATGGACTGTCGCTGCCATGTTACTTGAATGTGAGCGTGTTTCAGTTCAAACACAGATCAAATGTATACATACAAAACAAAGAGAGAGAGAGAGAACTTTCCTTTTTTCTCTTTCTATATCTAAGTGTATTGTATATATTGCAGATACAGAAGCCGTGTGGGTAGATGTGTGAACAGAGTGGTAAAAGAAAGTGGGAGACGCGGACACGAAAAATGAAGACAGCTTAGTGAAGGCTGTAATGATATATTTTCATTATTTTATTTAGAAAGTTTGGGGTACTACGTTGGAAGTCCGTTGGAGTCGTTGGATTTTGGAAACGTCTGTTTTTTGAATTTTGAATGCTATGTGCGGCGGTGCCTAGTGGGACCAACACATTCTTCTAAAATCCTATTAAAATATATCTAAAAAAATTATATCTAAAAAAATATATATTAAAATATAATTAAATAGGATGGTAAATGAGGATATTTTTTTTTTTCTTCGTATTCGTACCCTGCCTCTCAAAAATCATCATCCCCATGTTCCCTTCTTGTTCTGCAATGTTTTCATCCCTGAATTTACAGTTGATCATAATGTGTGAGCATCAATCATATAAAGGTAATTTAAGGTAAACGTTTAATGAATAATAACGTTTTTGAGCTTACATTCTTATAATGCCTTGGTGGTGTAACAAGTTAGTCCTTGGAAATCAGAAACCACGGAAAAAAAATTAGGTAGGGCTTCCCTTTGGTCTCGAACTCTTATAAGTGAGATCATATTTAAATAAGTGAACATGGATCGATGTGTGCGATAAAAATCGTATACAACCGGAAGCCAAAATCGTCATAACACTTAATGTCTGAAAGATATGTTCAGTTTTAACATTCACTTTAATAATTTTTGTCATGTAGAAATTAAGATACATATATTTAAATATGTTGAGAATTCAAGATCGTAAATTGAAGGTTAAAGACTCAAAATCACACTACCTAAAAGTTGAAGAGCTCAAACCCTAAGGTGTTGTTCTCTTTGTATTTCAGTTTTGTGTTTTGAATTTTGAATTCATTTTGAATTTTGTGTTTTAAGTATCCATTTTAAAATTATTGAAAATATGTTTTTTTTGGTATTTTGAAAAATTGTTTTGAAAACACCTAAAACGCGTTTTGAAAATTTTGACTTGATTATAACTGAAAACACTCAAAACGATAAATTTGATGTTTTGAATTTTTTTATTTTAATTTTTAACTTGTTTTCAAAAACACATTTTCAAAAATAGGAAAGAGAACGTGTTTTCACTGTTTTGGTAAATCGAAAACAGAAAACGGTTTGAAAATGGTAAAGAGAACATGCCATATGTTTTCTTAAGGATTCACACGACATGATGAGTAATATAGTTAAAAAGTTCGTTTTAATCTTCCGCGCACTCTTAGGATTCTCCGTTTGAAAAATCATAACCGTGTCTTATTTTCTTAATTTAAAATCATGAATTATTATTATACCTCTCTCATATTCAATTTGAAAAAAGAAATTTGCTCGATTTTATCCAGACGCGTCCTATCGAAAGAATAGTTGCTGTCAAGTTCATTTGACTAGAAAAAATTAAATAAAAATAGATACATTTTTATTTAATTGATAATAATCGTGGCATCATTGTGTTGTGCACGTTGTTAAGGTCCGTAGTTAGCGCAAAAGGGTCCCACGCATGTGCCAAATTCTATTCCAATTACAATAAATAATGGACCTAAATTTAGCAATTAAGAATTCTATATTCTATTTGATTTTCATTCTACCATGTTTCATTAGTTTGATTTTTGTCAATTAGAAATGAAATTACAAGACGTTTTAATGTTAATGTGAAAACGTGAACTCATTTGAATGGGATGATAAAAAAAAATGGGCCCAAGTTCGCGACTTTTATTGCACTTCGGAGGGGGCGTTCATGTAAGGCTAACCCAGGTTATCGAGCCTTGGTCATAATTTTGTGCGGCCTAAACAAGTGAACAAATGAATATTGTATACGTGTGTATAAGCAAGCAAATATATATATAGGCGTGTGAAATCTTGTTAAAAAAAAAGGGTTAATCAAATTCACATATATTTATTTTAATTTTTTTGAGGAAATTACATATAAACAGAAATTAAGTTTTCCAATTTAAAAATCGGGTATGAAGTTTATTTAACCAAAGGTGTTAATTGAATTATTATATAATATTATAAAAAGGTTGTATTGTAAATTTTGAAATAGTTTTTTAAATGTGTTGTTCCGTTTTAAATTTCCTTATTGGATAGTGTTAGACAAATTGTTGTCAAACGACCTCCTTGGACGATGATGTAAGTATTTTGTATTTCAGTCGGCATCGACCAAATGACTAAACGTATATCGACACCACAAGTTGGTAAACCAATCACATAATCACTTGGGTCATTTGAAGTAACCTAATTAAATTAGTGCTGCTCATGGCCCAACCCAAGACCTGGATGACTCTTTCGGTTTTATAGCCCACTAACAGATTTCCTATTGGGCCATAATTTTTGTGACCTAAAGCTCATACCTAATTCTACCTTACATTTACCGTGTCCATTACCGTGCTTTGTGAGTGAAATCATTTAGCCTTTTACTTGAGAAGAAATAGTACCAGTTTCTCGGCTTTGTTTTGTGTTCTCTGCCTCTTGCTTTGTGTTCTCTACTGTGTTATTTTCTCTCACCTTTCTTCAGCCTTGGTGGCTGTTTTCTGTGGCTATTATAACCTCTATTCTTAGTCATTGTTTGTGGGTAGAAACTTTGAGCAACCTGTTTGCGTTGGTTTGTGGTTTGGGTTTTCTCTTTGTGGTGTCGATTGATCAATACTGTGCCTGGTTCTTGGTGCAACTTGGAGTGCATTTACTTTACATCTGGTATCAGAGAGAGGTTTGGTGTAAATCCAAGCGAAATCGACGGAGAAGAGGAAGAGACGCTCGCGATTTCTTCAAAAATCGAACCCATTTTCTTCGATTCCGGCCAAACCAGCTACCGGCCGGAAAAACTGAGGATAGACATATAACCAGCAGACTGAGGCACACCTAGTGGTGGTGCGCGTGGACTCCGACGGTGGCGCATGGAGGCAGTTTTGGCCAGATTTTTTAGGCATTTCGTTTATTTTAATTCCTGAACGTACTAATATTGCTATTTCAGTGTTTCAGGATTTGCAGAAAGATTTGGACGATTCTGCCCTTTGGTGAGTAAGACAAATTCGAGGCTACAACTGTAAAAACATTTACTGAATTACTTTAGGCCATGAATTGCGGCCTAAAGCAGTAAATTCGTATCTCTCGTAAATTACGGACTCAGAAAGGTCCGCTCTGGTAAATTGGCTAATCCTTTTAAATTTCAGCACCAGCGCGCCATCGTGTGGGGCGACAATAGGATTGGGGTTATCGTGTGAGGTAACCATTGTTTGTGCTAGTGATTAGGAACTATTTGCTCTTTGTTGCTACGTGATTGAAATTTGCTCTTTTGATTAATTACAACATATTATGTTTTGTGATAAATCGTAAGTGAAAATGTTTTGTTGATATCTCTCTTGTTCTATTGATAACTTGCTAGAATACCTAGACCTTACCCGTTTGAAAATTCCTTTGATCTAAGATCGTGAATCTTACGAAACCCTGGGAATCTAAAACGGTGTATATTTGCGAACATATGTTTGCTTTGTGTGGCTTAATTATGACTTTGTATTTATTGTTTTGAAAATGACAACGCGCAATTTTGATTTGGGAACTTTTAATGAAAAATGTGATTTTTCTATTTGACAACAAAAAATGAGAGGTATTTTGGTCCAACAAAA